CATGCGCCACCACGCCCGGCTAATTTTTTCTATATATTTTTAGTTGTCCAGCTAATTTCTTTCTATTTTTAGTAGAGATGGGGTCTCAGCCTTGCTCAGGCTGGTCTTGAACTCCTGACCTTGAGCGATCCTCCCGCCTTGGCCTCCCAGAGTGCTGGGATTACAGGTGTGAGCCACCACGCCCAGCCAAGAAGGTTTACCTTTTAAATAACTTTCTAGTTTACTTAATATTTTCTACCACATGGTATTCTTAGGATAGAATTTTCATTCCTAAGATTTTTCTCCGTAACTAAAAGAAAATAAAGCAATTCAAACTCAGAATTTTCTGAGACCACTTTCATCCATATGTTGATAAATCTTAATAACTATCAGTAGTAAAACTGCTACAAAATAAAACACCGAAATATAAAACTGTGACTAAAAGAAAGACTTCAAAAGGGCTTTAGACTGGTTAAATAAACATGAAAATATGCTCAATGTTACTAATCACCAGAGAAATGCAAATCAAAACCACAATGAGGTATCACCTTACCCCAGTCAGAATGGCTTTTATTAAAAAGTCCAAAAACAATAGATACTGGCATGGATGGAGAGAGAAAAGAACAATTATACACTGCTGGTGGGACTGCAAATTAGCACAACTTCTATGGAAAACAGTACGGAGATTCCTCAATGGACTAAAAATCAACCTACCATTTGATCCAGCAATTCCACTAGTGGATATTTACCCAAAGAAAAAGAAGTCATTTTATAAAAAGGACACCTGCACTCGAATGTTTACTGCAGCAAAGATCACAAAGATGTGGAACAACCCAAATGCCCATCAATTCATGAGTGGATTAACAAAATGTGGTATACATATACCATGGAATACTACTCAGCCATGAAGAAGGATGACTTAATGCCTTCTGCAGCAATTTGGATGGAACTGGAGATCATTATCCTAAGTGAAGTACCTAAAGAATGGAATAACAAACACCACATGCACTCACTATTAAATTGGAACTAACTGATGAGCACACATGTGCACAGAGGGAAGTAAATCTCAAAGGAAACCAAGCAGGGGGTAGGGGGTGGAGTAGATGGGCGAAAAGCTACCTAACAGGTACAATGAACACGATTCTGGGTAGCAGGCGCACTTTTAACCCTGACTCAAACATTACAAAAGTGATCCATGTAATCAAAAACATTTGTACTCCCATAATACTTTGAAATTTAAAAAAAAGTTTACCTGAAAATGGAGTAATATATGACTATAAAAAAGAGGCAGAAGCTCATATAATATTCTACCATATGTGTTTAGGAAAAGGAAAACAAAAATATACTAGTATTTGCATGTATACACATAAAACACATAGAAAGCTAAACAACAAACTAGTAACCCTGGTTTACGTCCAGCAAGGGGGAACAAGGTGGCTACAGGTAAAAATGCGAGGGGAACTTTCTACTCATAATCTTTTGTACCTTTTCAATTTTTAACCTTGCAAATATAATAACTACTCCAAAAAAATTTTTTTTTAGAATAAAGGCTCCTTTCTACAACTTACTCAGACAGTTTAGTGATGTTATTTTTTTAAGTGTTTAATTTTCTGTGAGTGAGAAAATTCAGTTCCTTAAATCTATTATCTGAAACACAACAATAAGTTGTCCTTTAGGGTGAAAATTTTGAGTTTAGCCAATGATATAGCATAAAAACCCTATTTGGCAAATGGAATTAAGAAAGGAATAAAAACCATTTTCATGTATGTACATATAACCACAGTAACTATAATGTGGTTCTTTTCTGCCACTCAAGAACAAGAAGGGCAGACACATCATACATGAACGTAAAAGGCATCAATACATTACAAAAAAGAACAGACAGCTGGAAGCCAGTCAAGCCTAATGTAGCCACATGCCCAGTGAGGGACAGTGAAGAACCTTTCTTAAATTTTATAGTCTTGCAAAATAAAAAGAATTATGGCCTATTTAACATAGAAACCAATCATCAACTGCTTATGAACTCTTAGAAAAAACATGGTCATTTTATTAAATCTGATATTTTATAAAATTTATTTGAAATAGCTTTCACAGTAACTATTCCCATGAAAGTATAAATTAATGATTATCATCCAGTTAATTATTTTCAATTAACTGGATTTCATTAGTATTAATAAAGCATTCTTATGCTTAAGAAAGAGATCATATCTCCTCTTAAAAAACAGCAAAGTATAGTACTCCCCCATTATCAATGGTTTTGCTTTCCATGGTTTCAGGTCCCTGTAGTCTGAAAATAGTAAATGGAAAATTCCAGAAATAAAAAATTCATAAGTTTTATATTGCACGGTATTCTAAGTAATATGATGAAACCTTGCACTGTCCCACTCCATCCTGCCTGGGATATGGACCATCCCTTTGTCCAGTGTATCCTCACTATACACACTACCCACCCCCACCCCCCATTTCATTCACTGACATCGCCATGGCTCAATGATCCAGGAGTGCCCAAAGCAGATGATCCTCCTTTTGACGAATGGTCAGCAAGTCAGCAGTAGCCTAACACTAAGTCACAATGCCTATGTCACATACCTCACTTCATCTCATCACATAAAGAAGGGTGAGTACAGTACAATAAGATATTTTGAGAGAGAGAGAGAGAGAGAGGGAGGGACAACATTCACGTAAATTTTACAACAACATATTGTTATAATTGTTCTGTTTTATTATACTCATTGTTGTTAATCTCTTACTGTTCCTAATTTATAAATTAAACTCTACCATAGGTATGTATGTATAGGAAAAAACACAGCATTAATATATATAATAGTATATATAGGGTCTGGTACTATCCATGGTTTCTGGCATCCACTGGGGGGTCTTGAAATGTATCTCCTGAAGACAAAGCGGGACTTACTGTACTGGTAATTGTCTTTGCTATTTGTTTTGAAACAGGAGTTGCAAGTATTCATAATATAAAAATAAGAATCTATAAACAATCACAAACCTGTGTGTAAGTGCAGTTCTTCTTTTTACATTTGCCACACGTGAACAAGTCAGTCTGGGTTCCACCAGTCTTGGCCATCTGATGCTCTCTGATGGCTTCTTTGGTCAAGTTTTTCCGCATCTCTTTGAGCTCATCACTGGCCATTTCCTGTTAGGGAGGTGGCAATATCATTCAGTTACAGACACCTTCTATGTATATACTGAATGCTTTTACGCTCAATCGGCCCAACAATAATAGAACCAAAGCAAACTTTTACAGTTTTAAAAGCGTAAAATTAGTATGTTTCCTTGAAGGACTTGTAAAGGTTTAATTCCTTTTAAAATTTCTTCAAACATTTACAAGTTTGCATGTGAAAATTGGATTTAAGTGCTGTTTAAAGGCTATAAACAATGCAAACCTGTAGCAGTGAGTACCTCTGGTTTCCATATTATGGTCTCTAAATACTTTTGCCCTCCCTCCCGGAAAAGAAGCTAGGGACCTTTGGAGGAATGTCTGATTCCAGTTTTGAGGCAAGAAATGCATAGGATATGCCAGGGTCATCTTCTTGTGCCAGAAAACACAAAAGCTACTGAAGACTATTGTGGTTGAGTCAAACAGACAAAGGCCAACATAAAGGAGCTCCTACTGGCCAAAGACAGGACAATTTCTTCAGTCATCAAAATAAATTACTGTAAAGAACCAACCCCACAGGATAAATAGAAGCCACGAGTCCATGATGCTACTTAAGAGAGGGCACACACATGCAAAAGCAGACAAAAGCCTTTCTTCTGCCATCTAGCCCTAAAAAATGAAAACAGAACAAAAGCCACCACTGGCATTAACTAGGGTACCAACTCCTCATTCTAATAACTGGTGACTAAAGGGAAAGAATTATACACATTTGTCTTGCCTTTCCTATTCAAACCAACAGGGTAAGCGACAGCCCCAAGTTTACGAAAGAAAGTACTTTTTTATCAAAGAAATCTAGCTCATAAAATACAAACGAAATGACAGAATGTTAGAAATCACTGTTTTGTAAATCCTGAAATGACCAACTCAGGCCAGGATCATCATCAGATGAACCCACTAGACAAAAGGTCGACTGACAACTTTTACAATGGAGGAATCAGACTGTCACTACCCAAACCCACTGACAAATCTCGGCACCCTAAGAGCAGAGCAGCAGACATTAATGCCTCCTTATGTGATGCAACCAAAGTAAAAAGCACCACTTATGAATTTATGCAGAAAAAAGGTTGAACTTGAATGTAAACAAGCCTACAGAGCTAGCTTACAGTTCACAGACAATAGAGGAGATAGAGAAATTAAATAACATCATGAGGAAGAAACAAATTCATACTGTGGGATACAGAAGAAATGAGCTGGTTTCTTCAAGGGGTCAATGTTATGAAGGAAAAAAAAAACAAGGGGGGGACGGTGTAAGGGGCAGAAGGAACTGCTTATTTTTAAAATAATACAAAAACTTAAAAGAGCAAACTACAGGTAATGTGCAGACTTTGGATCCTAATACAAAGCAAATGTACAATCAGAAAAATATGAATATGAGAGCTGGATGGTGCTATAGTTCCAGCTGCTCAGGAAGTGGAGGTGGGAGGATCACTTGAGACCAGGAGTTCAAGACTAACCTGGGCAACATAGCAAGACCCTGTTTCCACAAAAAAAATTTTCTAAATATTAGCCAGGTGTGGTGGCACACACCTGCAGTCCCAACAACTCGGGAGGTAAAGGTGGCAGGATCATTTGAGCCTAGGAGTTTGAGGCAGTAGTGATTATGATCGTGCCACTGCACTCAGCGTAGGTGACAGAGCAAGACCTTGGCTCTAAAAAAATAATTAATTAATTAATTAAAAACATATATACCAAAATAAACTAGATATTAAATAATACCAGGGAATTATTGGTAGCTTTGTTGGATGTGGTGATGACAGTACAGTTATATAAGAAAAATATCCTATTTTTAAAGACATTTCCCAAGTATGTAGAGGTAAAAGAATATAATGTCTGGGATTTGCTTGAAAATAATTCAGGGGAAAAGAAGGAAAAGAAAAGCGATAGATGAAAAGGGTGACAAATTGTAGAAAATATATGAAGCTTGTGTGATGGATATAATGGATCTCATTACACTAATTTCTCAACTCTGTAAAAACTTTAAATTATTTTAATGAGGTTTTGAAAAGCCAAATTTTACTTTTTTGTTTTTTTTTTTTGAGACAGGGTCTCACTCTATTGTCCAGGCTAGAGTGCACTGGCATCATGATAGCTCACTGCAACCTCAAACTTCTGGGCTAAGCAATCCTCCTGCCTCAGCCTCCCAAGTAGCTGGGACTATAGGTGTGCACTACCACTCCTGGCTAATTTTTCTATTTTTTTGTAGAGACAGGGTCTTGCTCTTGCTCAGGCTGGTCTTGAACTCCTGAGCTCAAGCGATCCTCCCACCTCAGCCTCCCAGAGTGCTAGGATTACAGGCATGAGCCACAGTGCCCGGCCCTAAAAATATTTTTATTAGCTACAAGAATATCTCACTTTATTACACTTTGCAGATATTGCGGTTTTTTTACAAATTGAAAGTTTGTGGCAACCTTGTGTCAAGCAATTCAACTAGCATCATTTTTCCTATAGCACGTGCTCGCTTCATGTCTGTGTCACATTTCGGTAATTCTTACAATATTTCAAACTTTTTCATTATTATTATATATTATGGTGATTTGTGATCAGTGATCTTTGATGTTACTAGTGATTGTTTTGAGGGTGCCACTAACTGTGACCATATAAGACAGTGAACTTAATCGATAAATGTTATGTGTTCTGACCACTTCGTCAATCTGCTGTTCCTCTGCCTCTCTGCCTCTCCCTGGGCCTCCCTATTCTCTCAGACACAATAATATTGACAAAAGGCCAATTAATCACCATACAATGACCTCTAAGTGTTCAAATGCAAGGAAGAGTCACACATCTCACTTTAAATCAAAAGCTACAAATAATTAAGCTTAGTGAGGAAGGCATGTCAAAAACTGAGATAGGCAGAAAGCTAAGGCTCTTGTGCTAACAGTTAGCCAAGTTGTGAATACAAAGGAAAAGTTCTTGAAGGAAGTTAGAAGTGCTACTCCAGTGAAAACACAAATGATAAGAAAGCTAAACCCCCTTATTTCACGTGGAGAAAATTTTAGCTGTCTGGATAGAAGATCTAATCAGCCGCAACACTCCCTTAAGCCAAAGCTTATTTCAGTGCAAGATCCTAACTCTTCCATTCTATGAAGGCTGAGAAAGGTGAGTAGGTAAAGAAAAGTGAGAAGATAGTACAGGTTAGTTCATGAGGTTTAAGAAAGAAGCCATCTCCATAATACACTGCAAAGCATAAACTGAAGCAGCAAATGCTGATATAACAGCTGCAGCAAGTTATCCAGAAGATCTAGCTAAGAGAACTGACACTAAACGACAAATTTTCAATGTAGATGAAACAGCCTTTTATTGGAAAAAGATGCCATCTAGGACTTTCAGAGCTAGAAAACAGTAGTCAATGCCTGGCTTCAAAGCTTCAAAGGATAGGCTGAATCTCCTGTTAGGTGCACTAAGGCAGCTTTAAGTTGAAGCCAATGCTCATTTACAATTCTGAAAATCCTAGGGCCTTCAGATAAATATATTTTGATAAATGTACTCTGGCTGTATAAATGGAACACCAGAGGCTGCATGACAGCTCATTTGTTTATACCATGACTTACTGAATATTTTAAGCTCACTGTTGAGACCAACTGCTCAGAAAAGATTCCTTTCAAAAGATTAATACTCACTGAGAATGTACCTGGTCACCTAATAGCTTTGATGGAGATGTACAAGGAAATTAACATTGTTTTCATGCCTGCTAACATAGTATTCATTCTACAGCCCACGAATCTAGGAATAATTTTGATGTTCAGATCTTATTATTTAAGAAATACATTTTGTATGGCTATAGCTGCCCTAGATTGTGATTCCTCTGATGAATCTGGTACATTTCAAAGTACACTGAAAACCTTCTGGAAAGGATTCACCATTCTAGATGACATTAAGAACATTTGTGATTCATGGGAGGAGGTCAAAATATCCACATGAACAGGAATTTGGAAGAAGTTGATTCCAACCCTCACAGATGATTTTGAGAGGTTCGAGACTTCAGTGGACAAAGAAACTACAGTTGAGGTGGAAATAGCAGGAGAACTAGAATTAGAAATGGAGCCTGAAGATGTGGCTGAATTGCTACAATCTCATGATCACACTTGAATGGATGAGGAGTTGCTTCTTAGCGATGAGCAAAGAGTTTGTCGAGATGAAATCTACTTCTAGTGAAGATATTATGAGCATTGCTGAAACGACAACAAAGGATTTAGAATAGTCCATGAACTTAGTTGATAAAGCAGCAGCAGTTTATGAGAGGATCAACTCCCATTTTGAAAAAAGTTCTACTATAGGTAAAATGTTATTAAATAGCATTGCATACAACAGAGAAATCTCTGGAAGAGTCAACTGATGCAGCAAACTTCACTGTTGTCTTATGTCAAGAAATATCCACAGCCACCCCAACCTTTAGGAACCACCATCCTCATCAGTCAGCAGCCCTCAACATCAAGGCAAGACCTCCCACCAGCAAAAAGATTATACCTCACTTAAGGCTCAGGTTAGCATTTTATAGCAACAGAGTATTTTTTAATTAAGGTATGCGTATTTTTTTTAGATATAACACTATTACACACTTAACAGACTATAGTATAAACATAACTTTAATATGCACTAGGAAACTAAAAATTTGTGTGACTTGCTTAATTATAATATTCACTTTACTTCAGTATGAATCAAATCTGCAGTATTTCCAAGGTATGCCTGTACATAGAAAGCTAAACTCACTCTTGAATGCTAAATAATCAGACTGTAGATACACTACAGCTATTATCTATGAATAGCTATGTCTATAAATAGCAAGCTATGAATTTCATTTTTTCCATCAATCCCTATGTAAATTTAAGAAATAACTGTTATCAATTTTATAGTGTTTAACCAAGAAAAAAGGTTAGCGGTTAAAAAGTCTACTTGCAATTAGAGATTCAACTTTTAGATTCTACATGAATTCATAAAAAGCATAACATTTTTGTTTCTAGACAATGATTTAATGATTACACCCAAAAAGCATGGTGACAGCCAAAGAAGGGGACAGAGCATTGGTGTAATAGAATCAATCACCTGAAGTGCTTAATATATACATGAGAATATATCACTAATAGTGATTTATTATATATGCACTATTTATATAGTACTCTATGATTTAAACAGGCTTTATACTTGACATCATGGAATCACATCACAGAAACTTTATACTCAGCTATACTCACCTCTGCCGTCATTCTAGCAAATAAGTCAGGAGGAATATTCCCACATAGTACATTTTTCCTTAAATTTGGATTCTTTGCATCTTTAAGATTTGATATCCTACTTCGTACTCTATTTTTGTATTTCATGTCTGTATTCCTTATTTCTTGATATATAGGTACTAGGCCATTAAGGAAAAAAGGTAAAATTATAAAGGTAAGACTACTTTTTTTCTATTCTGCCATACTAAGAATATCTGAAATTTCTAAGCAGTTCACAAAACTGTTTCTAATTCAGAATAAGTTAAAAACAAAGCACAGATTCCTTGATATGCAATTGGCAAATAATGATAGTTATTTGCTTATACGCTGCGAATGAGTAATGCTTTTTTCATGTTTAATGCCAGCAGCATGCAAATTCAACAAGGTTTCAAAGAGTAACTTAGGTAACTCGGCATAAGTAAGCCAATTTTTTAAATAAGAGTTTGAGCTTACACAAGCTTTAACTTGCCCAAATCTGAATTCTACTAAAGATCCTAAAAGTCTCTATGGCCACACAGTTTCCTTGTAGCTTCTGAGAAGAGACCATTAGAGATGGTCCTGGGGAGTCGCCTCTTTCCCCAGCTCAGCAAGAAGCTAGTTTAGCGGGTTCTTCTCCACAGAAGAGGCCATAACAGAGGCTGAGCCCTGGAGCAGATTCCCTCCTAATAAGGCCATTTCCTCAGCCAGGACAGTTCCAAGTCACACCATTACCCAAATGTTCCCCTGTCCTCTAGCTGTATGGAGGACCCTTCTCCTGGAGCCCCTTCTGCGGTGCCCGGCACGAGCACACATCCTTCTGGGATAACGAGCTCAGGGATCTGTGTGTGCTCTGAGGTCCCCCCAACCGAGAAATCTTCATATTTACACGTGTGTGTGTTTTCCATGCCCTTTGCACAACTTAAATTCAAATGCTACACCTCCAATCTGCAAGGTGGAAAAATTAAAATGTCATCAGCACTGTGTGCTTTACTTTTGAGTAACAGCAAAAACAAGAGGAATAAAATGATATAGATGCCCCTCCCCTTTCTGAGCAAAACAATACAATCGAGATAGAAACTGAAGAATAAAATTCTGAATTCTATACCAGAAGAAAAAACTACAATTAAGTTAGATTACTTAAAACAATTATGAATATACACACAAAGGATATCTTCTTCAATTTGAGATCCTAACTCTTCTTCATCAGCTCCAATAGCAATGTAGTCATCTAAAAACAGGCATAAAAAATTGTCAAGTTATCATAATAATATTAAAAGAAAATTCAATACAGGGTAATTAAATTGCATTCCTATTTCTTAAACCCCATTTGCCTTACATAAAGAATCCTTTTACTTTCATTAGAATCTGGTCTCTTCACTACCCACTCCATTCCTTTTCTGGGATTCACCTAATATCCATAGTGCTCCTGCATTGATGACTCCTTATCCCTCAGGAATGGGGAAGTAATTGATCTAGCAGGCAATTCCTCATTTCATAACTCCATAAATTCTGGTTGCTCCAGCAGAGAGTAGAGAAAGTTACAGAAAGAACTGTCTTGTCTCCTGTGACTCAGGCTTCAATGCAAAGAAACCATTCATTTCATCTGCCAATCACATATATGGACACACTTAGAAGACTCCTATACGAATATTCAAAAGGATAGAAGGAAATAAACAAAAACAAGGAAGAAAAAAGAAAAAAACATATATAGAGAGACAGTAAGGAAATCAAAGTAGAAAGGGCAGAGTAAGGAGAAAAACAGTTCAAACTAGCTCTGGTTCAGAATAAGAGAACAGAAAAAGGATGGATTTATGTAAGATGATAAATATACCTGCATAAGAAACTTTAAAGCCAGAAGTTTACATGTTAAGACTGTATGCTTTCCAATTAAGTTTCCATATATAAATCAAGACCACTTTTCTACTTCAAAATAGTAGAAAATAGAACTATGAATAAAAACTTACATATTGTGTGTCATACTATTATTTAACAATTCAGTATTGTTAACTCTTGATCTGGAGCAGAGTTAATTAGTTTGCAAATTAAATGTGGGGAAATAAATGATTTGTGAGAAAGAACTTTAAATTACTATGAAATTAGGGGAAACATCCACATATTAGAAGGAATCTATTTCTTAGAATTACATAGTAATATGCAGATGCCCCAGTACTCCTCTCTGCCTTCAGGGACGCCTACCAACAATAGCTTCTCCCTGAGCTAGGCAGCGGTGGGCAGCTATCAACAGGATGACACTTGTATAACAGCAATATGGAGGTGGAGATAGTAATGGTGGTGGTGATCAAAGCACCAAGAAATAAAACAACGTACCCTAAACTTACCTCCTGTTCGAAGAGCTGCAGAAAGCATCTCCCTACACTTTAACCTCACAGAATCAGAAGTGCTTGGTGCCCGAGGAAAAGATGAAACATAAGTATCTCGAGCAATTGTCTCATCCTTTCTGCTGCTTACGTTGCCACTGGAGCTACTAAAATACACAAATACACACACACACCCCAAAAAATAAATCAGGAAAAACCCTCTTAAAGTGACATTATTATCACTCCATAAAAATAAAATTATTTGGCCCAAATACATGAAATAGTATTTCAGTAACTCTTACATGAGAAAAAAAAATTTGACTGTACACAAATTATTAAAAGAAGTTAGAAATTTTTAAATTTCATCAAGGTGAGAGACAAGTCTCACGTTATTTTTAACCAACTAAACACGTGACCTTGACTCTTCCTTTAAACTTTAAACAGTATTTTTAATAGAGAAAATATACATGACAGCTCAATATAATAAGCGAAAAGCAAGAATCTTGGCGTAAGGAGAGGGATGAGGGGATGGGACCAGAGAATGTGACAGCTCTTGACCAAAACTAGAGGGAGGGGAAAAAAATGTTTGAAAAACCTGTTCCAATTAGACAATGAGGTTAAAATGAGACAAACACCCTCTTCAAGATAAAAGTCATGTGTACTGATGTCATGAGAATACAAAAAGGTCTCTTAATTTCTCCCAAGAAACATCAACTCAATATGGACATCAGGACAGTTTAATAATTTTCCAGTCAACCTAATCATTTCCATCATTTCTGATTAACTTCTTCTATTGAATTTTCACCCAAATATGTTCCTTTCGAAACACTCTTCTGACAGGTTTCAATGAAGTCTTATCACATTAAAGATATCTGCCATAACCTTTTCATGGGTTGATTAAATTATTCATCTTCCATAGATCTGGCTTGCTGCATTGTTACTAGGACACACCCCTTGCTTTTTCCCCAAAATATAACTATTAAACTTCACGAACAGGTCACTGGGGCAAGACAGTCATTTGTACCTTCCAAGTTTAGTCAGTCCCTTTCTGAAGCCTCATCTGATTTCTCCCCTGCCCTCCCAAAGCACTGTCTTCATAAGGTTTGTACATGATAACTTTTCATACCTTCTTCCCTACCAGACTGAATTTCTCAAGAGCAAGAATTAGGACTTACTACTCTTTGCATTTTTGTTATGTAGCATAGCATCTGTCAGTGATAAATAAATGAACAAACCAATGATTAAAAAGCCCATTTCTTAAATACTTTTTGCTTTTGCTTCTCTGTGCCTATAGCCAAATGCCTAGCCTAACCATGGGCAATTGCCCAGGTGGACTGACGGAGACTTCCTCACTAGCTTCACTACTTCCGCCCCACATCTTACATTCTGGCATGTCCTTTCTAAGTACTGAAGCGCATTACTTTCTCCTTAAATTTTTAAAATGTAAAACTTTGCTTAGCTACAAGTAACTTAGATCTAACCTTAAATCTTCCTTCAGATTACCCCCCAGAATCGTTTCTCTAATCCTTTTATTTCCATCAGTATGTGTGTGGATGTATGTGTGTGTGTAGATAAATGCCAACCACTTATTTTATCAGACTTCATACACAATGATGTTATGCTTTTTCAGATAAACTCTACATCTAAACTTCAAGTGTCTGAGTACTTAATAAATATACTAAGAACTTACTCTTCCTTTATTATCTATTTAAAATATTTGTCTAGGCTGGGCACAGTGGCTCATGCCTGTAATCCTAGCACTTTAAGAGCCCAAGGTGGGGCTTGAGGGCAAGAGTTCAAGACCAGCCTGAGCAACATAGCAAGACCCTGTCTCTGTAAAAGAAATTCTAAGAAATTAAAATGGAGTGAGGCAGTATGTACTGATAGAAGGCTGAGGTAGGAGGATCGCTTGAACCCGAGTTCTAGGTTACAGTTAGCTATGATCAAGCCACTGCACTCCAGCCTGGGTGACAGAATGAGACCTTGTCTCTTTAAAAAAAAAAAAAAAAAAAAAATCTGTCTATACCGCTAAATTTTCAAGGCACTAAACCGGTGACTCTAGCCAGGTATTGGGACATGTGCCTGTAATTCCAGTGGCTCAGGAGGCTGAGGTGGGATGATAGCTTGAGCCCAAGGGTTTGAAACCAGCCTGGGCAACACGGCAAGACCCCATCTCTTTCATCTCTAAAAAAAAAAAAAGCAACTTTGAATGTAATGCAACTGTAAGCATGTAAACAATTCATAAATTATGGCCTGTACTCTTCAAAAATATCAAGGTCATGAAAGACAAACTGAGGAACTACTCCAGATTAAAGGAAACTAAATAGATAACTAAACGCTGTATGTGATCCTGGATGACAATTTGGAAAAATCTTTTTCCTTTGCAATAGAGGATGTTATGAGGACAACTGCTAAAATATGGATAACATCTGTAGATTAAAAAAAGTATTGTATCAATGTTAATTTCCTAATATTAATAGCCATACTGTGGTTATATGTAAGAAAATGTCCTTGTTCTTAGAAAATATACATTGATGTATTTAGGTATATAAGGGGCATAATGTCTGCAAATCACTTTATTTGGTTCAAAATAAAATTAATTCATGTGTGTATATAAACATACATATGCAAACACACATATAAAAATATAAATGGGACAATTAAGTAACGGGTTTATGGGACTTCTTTGTACTATTCTTGGAGTTTCTAAAAGTCTTAAATTTTCTCAAAATAAAGAGTTAGAAAAAACTGCATAAATTTTATTAACAACTCCTGTTTACCTTTGACTTACCTCTTTCAGTTTCAAGTATAGTTAATACTAATACATAAAATAGCGGCATATGGGATATTACTAAGTATTAATAAAAAATGAGGAATACATGATCAATTTGGGGAAAATATTGAGAAATCAAGTTAAAATAGGTTTACCCTTAATGTCCTAAATACCTCTAAGTCTCCAAGTGGGTTACACAGTAATAAAAAGTTCAGGGGCAGAGCAGAGTTTAGAAGCTGTTGCTCTAAAAGCAGGAGTTCTAAAACTTGAGTGTATCAGAATCACCTGAAAAGCCTGTTAAAAAACAGATTTCTGGGCTCCACCACCAAAATTCCTGATTCAATAGTTACAGGGGAAGGTCTGAGAATCTATATTTTTAACACGTTGTCAGGTTCCCTGCTCTTCCAAGGACCACACTTTGAGTACCATTGCTCTAAATCAATGTCAGCTGTTAAACCACAAGCTTCCCAACAACAGAGGAACTGTTCATATTTAATCCACTACACACATCCTATTATGGTGTCATGTTGGATATTACACAGTTTATGATATGTGAAAGGAAATAATAAATGCAAAGACCTCATAGGCACTGAGGAGCAATTTGAACCCTTCCTTACCAAAGTAATGCTACATTTTAAGTTCTTATGAAAAATAGCTAAATGTGGAAGGGGGAAAAATGCACAAAAAGGATAATGAGAAACAGGGCCAAAATAAATCTAAAAGAAATGTGACAAATAGAGGAAGTAACCATTTGAATCCCTAATCAGTACCTCCATTATCAATTCTATCAGTGCCTATCTCAGCAATCCCTTTCAATTAAACTTGTTAAGTACAACGTAAATAATTTATTTATGCAGTGTCTTCTACCTCTCTTTTAAATTTTCAGGAAATCTTGTTTAAAAAAACCTTAGAATATTTGGCTATATCCATTTACTAGTTCCATTTGAATAGAAAACAGAAAGAGGAGTGCAGATGTGGGATCATAAGATCAGGAAGGAAGTGACGGAGGAGGTAAATATATGGCTTTCAACATAAATAAATTTCCACAAAGTGAAATACCTTTCTTCTCTTGCTTCAGGGCTATTCTGTGATGTGATTGAAGGTTCTTTTTTCTTTTCTTCAGGGTCTTTGTCAGATGATGGCCCATCTAAAAATTTACGAAATCACTAAGTTGTTAGCATTTGTTAAAAATAAAAACTACTGAAATACTGCATGGTGACAGGCTATTTATGCAATCCCCCCCTAAAAAGAACTAAAATCTAAATGAGTTTACATAAGCTATTCTATTAGTATAGGCATATATACTTGAGTATTTTTCACAATGCATGTTGAGTCAACACTCTCAAATAAATTCTCTCATTTGGTGGGAGTTATAAATTCATATGCCAATGGGAACCTTTTAGGGAAGTATACAGAAAAAGAGAAGGAAAGAATATGGAAATATCAACACTGTCACTTTAAAAATAAAGCACATTAGGCTGGTGTGGTGGCAGGCCTGCAGTCTCCGCTACTCAGCGACCTGGGAGGCTGAAGCAGGATAGGATCACTTCCGCCCGGAGTTTGAGGCTGCATTGAGCGAGCTATAATCCTGTGCCACTGCACTCCTGTCTGGGCGATAAAGGGAGACCTCATCTCTTAAAAAATAAGAAAATGGGAGCACAAAGTATAAATAGCAATATTTTTAAAATAATTTTTCATGAAGTCAAAAAATTTAAGGTAGTACCCAAAATATAAATAAGTATTTCCAGAAAAGTAAACAAAGAACAATTCCATGGAAAATATCTCAAGATTAGTAAGACCTACCCAGCACCTTCTCTATCTTAAATGATCTGTAAAGTATTAGAATAGAGAGTGCATAAGCTTTAAGACTTAAAGAGGTAAGCAATTAGATATTGTGAAATAATGTCCATAAAATAGGATGAGTCAATGCAGTATTTTAGTACCGGCAAGAAACATTCATGTTTAAATCAATCAAAACCACCTTGAAGCTAGGTTCAGAAAATGTTTGAGTCTACTGTATAAAAAGTACACCACCTTATCTACATTTTGCTTCCTACCTAAGTAATAAGGGCTGCATAAACAATTCTTTCAATTCTTCACATCTCTCTGTATAGAATATAGAACAACATATATTCAACTGGATAACGGGATCACCAAGGGAGCTTTTAAACATATCTTCATGTCAAGCTCCAATCCAGATCCATTCAATCCAAATCTCTGGCAATGAGGCACAAGCATGATCATTTTTTAAAGTTCCCCAGACAACTCTAATATGCCATCTGGATAAGAATCACTGATACAGAACGATACAAATCACAATTGTAGAACTTATCTTGTAAAGCTGAGGTCTATCAAACCTAAAATACAATTCAAGGCCTCTACGGTATAACATGAGTGTATGCTTTAGTTTTCACATACTAATTTCATTGCTCCCTGTTATTCTCTATAATTCACCTTTACGGCCTCAAAACCTAAAGATGCTATACAGTTATTGTGAGGTAGAAAACAAAGATCAATAATGACATATGGCAAGGACTAAGAAATAGTCCAAAAGTAACAGGGTAGAAAGCATTTCAAAGGGAAAGGTGATATAACAATGAAATACAACCTACCAAGGATCCAATGCTGCTGAAGGGGCAGTAAAACTGATCTCACACACTGCTCTAGCATAGTGGATTAGTGTAATCCTTTTGGAAAGCAGAGCAGGAAGACGCACAACATCCTTAAAAACATTCCTACTATCTGATACAGTGTTGTGGGTCATACAGCACAGCCAGCAAGAAGGAAGTGCTCCCGCTCCGGACTCTGACTGTCTACAATCAGATCCCAGCTCGGCTAGTCACTACCAATCCAACTGTATGCAAAGGTACATAACCGCTCTGAGCCCCAGATTCCTCAACACAAAATGGGGATTGTAACAGTGTCTACCACATCAAATTGTTGCGAAGATTAAATGCATTAATATAGGTCAATGCTTGACACATTTTAAGTACTCAAAAATGTGCTACCTAATGGCAGTAGTAGTAAATCTTCGAGAAATCTGGCTAACAATCTAAAGAAAAATTTTAGGCAGACAGATATTCAAGACATTAAATACCCATAAAGTTAAAAACAACAATAACAAATCTAACAATATGCAAGTGATTTACTAAAATATGGTACAGTCACTGAATGGATTATTCTGAAGCTAATAAAAATTAGAGTTATGATGAAAAATACAAAATACTTTCATCAAAAAAGATAATATAAATAAGTATACATACAGCATAAGTAAAATTATAGTTGAAGCAAAATCTATGCATTGGTGAAAAAAGAAATACAGTAAGATATTAGCTGATGGTTGTATTCAGAGATAGACCTAAGGATGATTTTCCCCCAAGTCCCCAAATTCTATTTACTGCACATACAAATCTTTTAACAAAGTTTTAGAACTTAAACTGAAATTAGATACCTTCAATAAGTATAAAAGAGTAAAATTATTTAAATTTAAGAGTAAATGAGCATAACTGCAAAGTCTACTCTTTTCTACCACAAAATGTAAACCATCTTTCCAGAAAAAAAAATTAATGGTTTTGAATCAACTTTCAGTGACTAATTTTAATTACTTTAACATATGGAATTAGGTTTAAAATTTAAATGAACTGTAAACCCAGAGTTGCCATTTATCTTTAAAGATAAGACATTTAAAGAAATTTTTTATTCTGAAACAATTTCAAACTTGCACAATATAAAAAGTACAAAGAACTGCCATATATGTTTTACTAGATTCCCCAATTATTAACATTTTGGCACATTTGCTTTCTCATTCATTCCTTCATTTTCTGTATATTCCTTCATATACAGACATGCAAGTATACACACACATATGCAGATGCGCAGACATATTTCTTTTGAACCATTTGAAAATAAATAGCAGACACTATGCTCTTTTATCCCTAAATACTTCACTGTGGGCTTCCTACGAATAAAGATATTCATTTATATAACCAAGCAAATAATGATTAAATTTAACAATGTATAATATTATTAACTAATCTGCAGACCTAATAAAATTGGCAATTCTGCCAATTGCCCCAATAATGATCTTTTTATAATTTTTTTTCTTGTCCAGAATGCAATATAGGATGATGTATTATTATATTTCACTTCCTTAAGACTAGGAAGTGAAAATTCTATAGCTGTACAACTTTTAGCTCCCAGCTTCCAACTTCTTTTAAGTAATGGGTTTTTTGTTGTTGTTACTGTTGTCTTTGAAATTTTAAAAGGTTCACTTTTCCTGTTTTCCCTTCCATATAAGGTAATAGCTATTTAGAGAAATGGCTGATTCCATGGCTGGGGCAGAGAAGACAGATGAACCCCATACATCTTGTGGTGCCAGAATATAAGAAAGTGATCAAAAAGCTGAAAAGAGTTTGTCAAAAGGACACAGGAGCCAGTTTGAAGGGGTGCCCACTGGCCAAATCTCAAACAAGGAAAATATCAAAATAAATCTGAATAGTAATGGATTACAATCCATCATATAGACTAGAAATCCACAAGTCCACACTAATAATAGATAAATAGCTGGGAGTAAAAGGAGGGTTCCTTGTTACAGTAGAATGATGATGTGTAAATATTAAAGTGGAAGAGTCAGAAAATCTCAATTTTGCAATCATCACGGTGGGCACTCGGTAAGAATCAATGGATACTAAACTGGGAGGAGAGAGAGAAGATCTGATAAAGCCCAAGACAGTTTCAGGGTCTTCAAGTGTCTCCCACAGAATGGTATTAGTTATAGGAGGAAAAATATAAACTATATAGTGTACACACTTATACTGGATTCTCAAAATTACTATCATCAATGCTTCTGGATATAATACACTGAAAAGCATGCTTATGTAGTATTCCAATTGTGGATGTACAACCTGAACCAATCATGAGAAAACAGAAAATCAACCTCAAATAAGGAAGATGCTATTAAAAATAATAGGGAAGCCAGGCGCAGTGGCTCACGTCTGTAATCCCAGCACTTTGGGAGGCTGAGGAAGGAGGATCGCTTGAGCCCAGGAATTCAAGGCCAGCCTAGGCAAAATAGTGAGATCCCCATCTCTAAAAACAAAACAAAACAAACAACAAAGACAAAAAAAAACCCAGATGGTGAATAAACTTGCTTCAAGTATATAACTGAAAAATTTGAAGTTTTGACTTGAATATATTTCCTAGTTTAATTTTAAACCAAAATCCAATTCTACTTTGTATTCATTATATCCAGTCATTTTCTGTATGTTGTATAACATATCCAAGTTCTATTTCCTGAGACCAAAAAATATGCTAACCTTTGATTTTTAAGCCCATTATCAATTTGATAAAAATTTGATTTGCATGAACATCAATATTTTTAAAATACCACATTAGTGTTTACGTGAATCCATATATATGATAAAATTGCTTGGAACCATACATGCCCACAAACATAAACTAGCGCATGTAAAAACCAAAATCTGCATAAAGTCTATAGAATGCACCAATGTCAATTTCCTGGTTGGGACAGCGTATACTACGAGTTATGTAATGTTACCACTGGAGGAAGCTGGATGAAGGGTACATGAGACCTTTCTGCACTATTGTTTATCAACAAAAAACTAACAACCCCAAAATAAGATTTAGAAAAAGGGAATTCATATCTGTTGGGCTAGGACCCTATGGACAAGGATAGAGTAAATTTCCTAGAGAGGCGATAACTAACAGGGAAAGATCACAGATCAAATAAAAAGAAGAAATGAAATCATGAAGCCAAATAAACAGGTGCGTATTAAAATGAGATAGGAAATTTCTGCCTTAGAGAAAAACAAAGGGGAAAGGGCGCTTGTATTCTTCAAAATGTCAATATCACAAGAGACAAAGAAAGGCTTAAGAATTATTCCATATTAGGAAACTAGATACGTGACACTGAACTGGATCTTGTTCTGGAGGAGAAAAAATAAAAAACGCTATAAAGGACATTATTGGGACAACTGACAAAACTGGAACATGGATTACAGATTAAAGTATAATACTATGTCAATGTTAAATTTCCTAAATTGCCTATACTATGTATGGTTCCATAAGAAAATAAGCTTCTTCTAAGGAAAAAACAGTTAAGTATTAAAGGGTAAAAAAGCATGATATATTCAACTTATTTTCAGATGGTTCGAAAAAAACAATTTGTGTGTATTTATGTGTACATATAAAGAGAGAGAGAGAATAGGATAAAATAAATATGGCAAATGTTAAAAACTGATGATCTGGATAAAGGATAACAGAGTTCTTTTTATTATTCTTGCAAGTTTTCTGGAAGTTAAAAAATTATTTCAAAAACCATTTCAAAAATTATGCACATTTTCCCTGGGAGAAAATTCTTCTTACTTAAAGAAGTTTATCCAGTTCTAAGTGTCAAAAGTTAAGAAAGCTAAATCTGACTAGGCTAAAAAGCAAAACTCTAAAGAAGGTCAAACTAATCCCTCTCACCTTTATTATGAGGCATTGATTCCAATACATCTATATTCATAGAGAAAAAAATGCAACCACCAACTGTTTAAATAAACCAGAACATCATAAATATATGTAAGAGAAGATCAATTATACCTAATAACTTTTTCCAGGATTTGATGAGAGACTTTGCTAAAGATGTAACTTCTTCATCTGTACTCTGCTTACGAATAGCATTAACTGACATTCCAATTCTTGTGGACTGCAAGGCAACAAAAAAAATTATATACACCAATCTTATTTTAAACAACTTAGTATGTCACCCACATTTTCCTCTTTCCAAGATTCCTGTTTCCATTTTAGAATTTAAAAACTTCAATTATTTGAATTCTTGTAATCGCAAACTATATTCTTAAGATATATACATCTTCAGATCAAGCATCTTCATCAATGTTCTTATCACTGAGATCTACAAGCATACAATTTGCTACTGTAATAACGCTGGTTAACTAGAGAAATGAAATCAGTCTTTCTACAAGGGAGAAGTGAGGATAAAATATAAAATGTTGCACTTGTGTATATAAAAGGTAGGCTGAAGCAATCATGGCTAATTTTAATATATACACTTCTTTGTTTCTATACAATCTTCTACATACACTACACAGAGCCCCAGCCACAACTGATGATGAGGATATCCAAACAAAAACTACACTTACAGGGGTTTAAAAGTCTTTTTTGGGGCCTGTAATCGGCATGTAATCATAGATATTTAAAGGGACTTCAAAGAATATAGATAAAATTTAACATGTGATAATACCATGTGCCCAGGATTATGCTCAGAGCATCCATTAATATTCCTGACAATCTTTAAAGTTGACATCATTATCCCTATTTTTTAAAGATGAAGACATTGGAAGTACCAACAAATAACTTGCCCAGCATTCCACCATTACTAATTGGCAAAGCTGGGGATTTAATCCAGGTCTGTCCATTTCTGAAGTCCATATTCTTTCCAGCACATCAATGGTTTTCTAACTATGCTCCAAGAACACAAAAGCTATGACAGTCCAATTATAGGTGATAAATAAAAAATGGTAAATTATTTAGTAAATTTAGGTTGTTAGTAGATAATCTTTCAAAATCTATTGTCTATGGAAGAAAAAAATAACAAAAGGAATTCTTAGTGGTAGAAAAAAAAGAAGAGAATGCCTACTGTAAGCTTTATGGCAGAAAGATAAAGGGTGATTAAGATTTCCTTCTAAATCATTCAACCCTCTCAACAAAAAGACAGATTCGGGACATAGGTTTTGTTCAAGAATTTAGAATATGTGCTTGGGTGGAGTGTCCTATGTTACATCTCTCGGAAAGCTGAGCAAAGCAGATAAGGCTCGACAGCAGGAAGATAAAGGGGATCCCACAATGCTGACGCCCCAAAGTCATTTGGGGCTAACGAGTCAAGTTATCTCCAAAAAAGCCTATTTTTTGAATGAGTGGAGGCAATTACTTGAGTTACTAATGTAGTTCTGAAGCTTAGAATTGACACAAATCACAGGGGAAAAAACGGTGTTTTAGTAGGGATTTGCAGGTAAGCAAAGGTCTAAGGAGAAGATGAATAAATTGTGTGCTGCTGGGTGACTATTTTTTAATGACCAAAGGATATTTTGATTACTAAAAAGTAAATGACTGTCCCACTTAGCAAAAAACAAAACCCACACTGAGAATACAGTTATCTGTAATAAACATGCTAAGGAAGAGATTGTCTAGTCAAAATAAGAAGAAATGAGGCTGCTGAGGTAAAATGAAAAACAAAGATTTGAGGCAGGTTTTTTTTTCGCCTTTAGGGGAGTATCATGGGAAAAATGGGAAAAAGACAGAAGAAATGATTATGAAGCTATTTACTTGTATAACCAAGTCTGAATTTGCCTCTAACAATTCCCTAGGGATTTTTCCAAAACCTGGTAGGCTAAGATGTACAAGACGTAATTCTTGGGCTATAAAAAAGTGTTTTTGTGCTTAAATTACATTAGGAATTGTGGCGTTAAACAGCTTTCTCGACTACAGGACTAATGAAAAGTTTTCAAGACAAAGTATACTTGCAAAGCTCCAGCAGAGAAAATACATGCCTTTGTCCATGGTTTCTATAGAACATCAGGTACACAGTAAGAAAGACATTACCTTGGAAAGGTGGAGAGTGCATTAAGCAGACTTAGGGAGTCAGCTGCACACTGACAGTAAAGCAGAAAAGAATGAGTACTGAAATCAAGAGACACTGTTAACATCACAGGAAACAAGCAGATTGCTGTGCTCCAGAAGAAAAATCTCCTTCGTGATTACTCATGAGTTTTTGCCAAGATGATCTGAAGGTAGCCACTGAATCTCAAGGTAAAAAACATATAGCTACTATACAGCTACTATAATACATGTAAAAACAGACATGTATCTAACACAACATATAAAAAGAAACACAGGTACTATAAAACATTGTTGAAAGAAATTAAAGACGACCTAAACGAATAACAAAAAAACTTCCATGTTCACAGGTTTGGAAGACTTAAGTGTTAAGGCTACAATCAGGTCAAACTACAGATTCAATACAATCTGTATCAGAATCTGATCTGCTTTTTGTGCAAAAATTGACAAAGCTTATCCTGAAGTACATATGGAAATGTAAGACACCCAAAACAGCCAAAACACTCTTGAAAAAGAACGAAGTTGGAGCACTCACAATTCCTAATTTCAAAATGTACTACCAAAGATACAGTAATCAAGACAGTGTGGTACTGGAAAAAGACAGACACGCACATCAATGGAATAGATTTAAGACTCCAGAAATAAACCCCTAAGTTTTTCGTCAATTGATTTTAGACAAGGATGTAAAGAAAATTCACTGGAGAAAATAATATTCTTTTCAACAAATGGTGCTAGAACAACTAGATATCCATATTTAGAAGAATGAAGCTGGATCTCTTCCTTATACCACACAAAAAAATTAACTCAAAATGAACAGAAGTAAATCTTCGTGACCTTGAATTAAGCAATGTTTTCTTAAATATGATACCTAAAGCACAAGCAACCAAAGAAAAAAGATAAATTAGACTACATCAAAATTTAAAACTTTTATACTTCAGAGAACATCCTCAAGAAAATAAAAAGATAATCCACAGAGTGGGAGATAATATTTGCGAATCCTGTAACTGATAAGGCACTTGTATCTAGACTACATAAAGAACTATTACAATTCAATAATAAAGAGACAAATTCAAAAACGGCCAAAGGATCTGTACAGACAGGTCTCCAAATAGGAGATAGAAATGACCAAAAAGCACACAAAAATCAACATCTTTAGACATTAGGGAAATGGAAATCAAAACCGCAATGAAATACCACTTCACACCCACTAGAATGGCTACAGTCAAAGACAGATTGTTTGCAAAGATGTACAGAAGGAACTTTCATTTACTGCTGCTGAGAATGTAAAATGTGCAGCAGTTTGGGAACAGTCTGGCAGGTCCTCAAAATGTTAAACACCGAGTTACACTATAACCCAGAAATTCCACTCCTGGGTGTTTATCCCAGAGCAACGAAAACATGTTCACAGAAACTTGTACGTGAACACATTAGCAGCATAAGTCATAAAAGCCAAAAAAGTCAAAACAACCCAAATGTCCATCAACTGACAAACAGATAAACTAAATGTTTATCCATAGAATTGAATATTATTCAGCAATAATAAATAAAAAAAGAAAGAAAACTCTGGAATAAACTACAACATGGATGAACCTTGAAAACATAACTATGATTTACTGCCTTCATAATTAAAAGAAATGTTAAGTTTCAGTTAGACATTAGTGAAAATAAATGTAATTATTTTCCTCAATGATGTCACACAAATCAACTGCCACCCTTCCCTAAATTCTTTCTTTTTTTTCTTTAAGAGACAGGGACTTGCTGTTGCCCAGGCTGATGTACAGTGACACAATCATAGCTCACTGCAGCCTTGAACTCCTGGATTCAAGTGATCCTCCTGCCTCAGCCTCCCAGCTCACTGGGACTACAGATGTGAGCCACCACACCCAGACATTCATCCCTAAATTCTGATTTAATAGAAGTAACAAAGAAGATACTTCTATTATTCTAAGATAACAGATAATAAAGAAATATCTAACGGAAAATAGCCAGATTTGTGTTATTGACTATATATTTATTTTCCTTTCTAACATTTTGATTTTTGTTAAAGTTTCATATTTATGTTTTAGTCCTAATAGAACACTAAAATAAGACTTCAAAAGCAGCATGGTATTGGTATAAAAATAGATACATAGAAAAATGAAACAGCTAACTGATTTTGGACAAAGGCACCAAGAACACACACTGGGGAAAGGACATTATTTTTAATAAATGGTGCTGAGAAAATTGGATATCCACATGCAGAAGAATGAAAGTAGACTGCTGTCTCTCACCACATACAAAAATCAACTCAAGATGGATTAAAGACTTAAATGTAAGACCTAAAACTATAAAACCATTAGAAGAAGACATGGGGAAACACTTCAGGACCTCAGTCTAGGCAAAGATTTTACAGCTAAGACCTCAAAAGCAAAGGCAACAAAAATAGACAGATGGGACTATATTAAACTAAAAGTCTCCTGCACAGCAAAGGAAACAATCAACAGAGTGAAGAGAAAACCTGAGGAATGGAAGAAAATGTTTGCAAACTTTTCATCTGACAAGGGACTAACATCCAGAATATGTGAGGAACTCAAAACAACAACAAAAAACAATTCCATTAAAAAGTGGGCAAAGAACATGAATAGACATCTCTCAAAAGAAGACATACAATGACCAATAGGTATGAAAAAATGTTTAACTTACTAATCACCAGGGAAATGCAAATCAAAACCACAGTGAGATATTATCTTACCCCAATAAGAATAGCTATTACTAAAAGACAAAAAATAGTAACAGATGTTGGTGAGGATGCAAAGAAAAGAGAACTTTCATACACTGTTGATGGGAATGTAAATTAGTATAGCTATGGAAAACAGTATGGAGAGTTCTCAAAAAACTCAAAACTATCACACAATCCAGTAATCCCACTACTGGATATTTATGCAAAGAAAACGAAATAGGCATATGAAAGGGATACGTGTACCGTGTTTATTACAACACTATTCACAACAGCAAAGATATGGAACCAACCCAACAGATGAATGCACAAAGAAAATGTGGTATATATACATAATGGAATACTATCCAACCATAAAAAAGAATGGAATCATGCCATTTGCAGCAATATGGATGGAACTGGAGGTCATTATTTTAAATGAAATAAGCCATACACAGAAAGACAAATATTGCATGCTCTCAATCACATGTGGGAGCTCAAAAAGTGGATCTCACGAAGATAGAAATTAGAGTGATTGACACCAGAGGCTGGGGAGGGGTGAGGGGAGTGGATGAAGAGAGGTTGGTTAACGGGTACAAACATACAGTTAGACGATAGAATGAATAAGTTCTAATGTTCCATATCAGAGTAGGCTGATTATAGTTAACAAGGTATTATATATTTCAATACTTGAAATGTTCCCAACACATACAAATGAGAACTACTTGAGAAGATGGGCACCCCATATACTGACTTAATCATTATAGTCTATGCATGTAACAAAATATCATGTGTACCCCATAAATATGTACAAATATTACATATCATACATAGATTCACAGACTTCAGTAATGAATCTATGTAATGTCTACTAGACATCAATTGTGTACATGGTTGGCCAGTGCTAAAAAAGGGAGTGGAGTAATACCCTGCCATCCTCACCCTGAGGCTGGCTTCATGTAGCAGCAGCTATCAATGATAAGATCACCAAAGAGAAATCCTGGGAGACCAAATCAGGGCCAAGAGTTAGTCCATTGCCAAGGACTCGAATTTTATTCTTCTTGAGAAAGGCAACATTATTCTATAATGGCAATTTAATAGATTACTGATTTATGTTGCTATCTTTAAAAAAAAAATAGAAGTTAATAATAGTTCATACCATAGCCGGACAGTACAAAAAACTTATATTGGGACTGAAGATGTTTTAGTATTTTATGACAATTACTATTTAAAACTGTGATGCATATAAGTACATACCTGTAATAATTCCAAGGTCATGGGAATATTCTTAAGCTCCTTCAGCAAATCCAGTGCTCCAGCCTATAAAATAAAATAATTTCACATTGAATTCCCAAGACAGGAAAGCAGGATCTAGCCAGATATTTAAACTTATGATTCCTATCCATAACTCATGATGGCTCATTTATTCATGTGAGAACAAAGATACATATACACACGTACATACAGTATCTTTCAAATGGAGACTGAAACTCATCAGAGGATCATAAAATCCATTTACTGGATTATGATCAGCATTTGTGAAGTAACTGGTAAGTACTATTTTGTGAAAGTTTATTTTCAACAGTATTTGTTTACTTGTTAATATGTGTGTACCGAGTAGAAACGTACAATTTCTTACTGCGGTGATGTAACACACCTCGTATGTCCACGGAGAACACCTGCATGAGAAAGGAGCCAAACCTGAGAAAGGGGAAAGGAGCAGGGGAAACTCTGCTACCATTCTCTGTATCTCACTGGTCTGCCACAAGATCTGCCTGCGTGCATAGTAGTAAAGAGCAAATCTAAAAGAAAATTCAGAATTGACATCTACATTAAGTTCACAGGCCTGCAATTCCCATTTAGAGTCAAAAGCTCCCATGTAGATGAAGAGGAAACGAAATACGGCTAATGGAAGAATTACAGAAAGCACCTAAAGTTAAGAGGAATAAAATTAGATAAGGAGCAATAGCACCACCTATATAGCCTGTGGCCAAATATTCCAACCTGATATTCATGTAATCATATTTCATCTAATATATTCACTTAATATTTCATTTGTCTAATATTTACTTAATGTACTATAATTGGACACATGATTATTTTATAAACCAGTAATAAATAAAAAACTATTAAACTGACAGTGTTTTTCTTATAACTTTTTTTTACTTTTGTTTATTGAAAGAATTCTTTTAGAGTTGGAATTTTTGTATCACCTGTTACATTTATAAAAAGAAAAATATAAGCAAAATAAATTGGCTAAGGTGTTACTAAAAGTACTTCACATTCAGAGTCTAATCACTTTTTGACTCAGATTCAACAGTATCTGTTTTCACCCCACAAAGAGTTGTATAAAAACACTAGTGATACAGCATTTCCTAAAAGAATCCATAAAAGAGCTGACAGCATTAGCTTTCAGGCTGGCTTTGTAGTGTGCGCATCTGCTTTTCACCCCCACTGCTCTTCACAATTTGGTTCCTCAAGATTCAAAGAGTACTCCACTAATGTCTCTCAGATTTCCTTCCAAGCCAAAGACCCTCTTTTGGACAAGTTTTGATGCTAGGCTTGACATTCTGCCTGCGAGAGTACACCACAACAGCCATCTCTCCAGTGATAAGTGCAACACACCCTGCTTTCTATCATAAAATGTTAAAATATGAAAACGAGGCACCCTACAAATCAATGAAACACAGCATATCCCAGAAAAACAGAAAGTCCCAGAGCATGTCACACTTTATGCACCCCAAAGGAAGAAGCAAGCAAAGATTTTCACAGTATCACTGTATTCCTTTCTCTCTTTCTTTTTTTTTTTTTTGAGACAGAGTCTCGCTCTGTCACCCCGGCTAGAGTGCAGTGGTGTCATCATAGCTCACTGCAACCTCCAACTCCTTGGGCTCAAGCGATCTTCCTGCCTCAGCCTCCCGAGTAGCTGGGACTATAGGAGCACACCACCATTCCCGTCTAATTTTTTCTGTTTTTGGTAGAGAGGGTTCTCGCTCTTGCTCAGGCTGGTCAGGCCGGTCTCGAACTCCTAGCCTTAAGCAATCCTCCCGTCTCAGCCTCCTAAACTGCTAGGATTACAGGCATGAGCCACCTTGCCCAGGCTTCTCATAAGTTTTTAATAAACTCATTCGGTAGCAAAACCTAATCTCAACATATGTAAAGCTTTTTAAAATAATTAATATGTTCTATTTATCCCACTTAATGTGAAATACGCATTTCACTACAGAAATGGTAATATCTGATTACTGAGAACTGCCCAGATACTATTATGTATTAATAATATATGACGTATGTACCAAATTATCTTTATAAAATCTGAAAAATTCGGAATTCCTAAATATATCAGACCCTAAGGGTTTTAATCAGCAGAAATGGACCTGCATCCTCTATCTACCATAGACATCTTTCTTCTACCCACAGCTTCACAGAATTTCTGATCAAGGATCAATTAGAAAGGAAGATAAAGAACCACACTTTCAAGAGTTCCTTAAAAAGCATGAGGAACCACCAAAAAAAAAGACAGGAGGGCTGGGCATGGTGGTTGATGCCTGTAATCCCAGCACTGTGGGAGGCCCAGGTGGGAGGCTAAGGAGGATGCTTGAGGTAAGGAGTTAGAGAGCAGCCTGGGCAACATACCATGACCCTGTCTCCACAAAAAAATTTTAAAAATTAGCCAGTGTGGTAGTACGCACCTGTATTCCCAGCTACTCAGGAGGTTGAGGTGGGAAGATCATTTGAGCCTAAGAGTTTAAGGCTGAACTGAGCTATGATCAGAACACTGCACTCCAGTCTGGGCACTAGAGGAGGAGACTCTGTCTCTTTTTTAAAAAAAAAACACCAAAAATAAGGGCAGGGTCTCCATGGCTTATATAATGCCATCTGTCACACAAAAAGTTAATTTTTCTAGCATATCAGCAATGTGACAGTTTAAGTTGCACTCCCAGTAGAGGCAATTAGAGATTTGCATTAATTCCATTATTTTCTCTTTCTAGTCAGATCTCTTTGCTGAGATTGGGTTTAGAGATACAGGCTATGGCAGGAAGAAAAAGTTAAATAACACTCATAGGATAAATCTATGACCTTTCTCATAATCACACTGTGTTCTAACCAAGTAAGATAAATACTTTATTCAAGGTTAAGAAATAAACAATTATGATGATCTGAATCAAACTGGCAAAAACCAGACAATCACACATCAATTCAGTGACAACAGACTTCGAATATTACTATGTGTCATGCATTATGTTAAATACTTCATATAGATTATCTCATTCCATCTTCACAATAAACCCTATGAAAGCAGATAATCTATTATCTTCATTTTACAGATAAGGAATAAAGCTTAGATATGTTAAGAAATTTGCACAAAGTCATAAAATTACTAGCTTGAAAAGGTGAAAGCTACCCCAATTCTGTCAAATTACACTCTATTGCCTTTCAACAACACTCATCAACACTACGTACCAACCTCTGCTCTGTACCGAGGATACAGCAGTGAGCAAGACAGAAACCCCTTCTGACTTCAGGGAATTTAAAAACAAACAGTAATCTTCAAGCCTCTACTCCAAACCTTTATATAAAGAAACCTAAACCCAGAAAAGGAAAGTGACTTGCCCAACGTCATAGTGGTGGGTAATATAACAGCAAGGAGAAAAACTAGTCTCCTGACCCTTACACCTCTGCTCTTTCCATTCCACTGGTCTAGCAGTGGTTAGTTCTGCTCTGTGAACTCAGGTGAACAGCATGAATAAACAAGAAGCTGTTATTTTACCCTTCTCCAATCATCACTTCCCTCTAAATGTCAAGTCTATTAGATTGTAGCATCTCCTATAGATGATGCAAGAGAAAGCAAGACTCTAACTTCCAGAGCCAGATTTAGTTCATAGTACTGGCTGAAAAACAAATTACAGCTATCACACTACTTTATTTTATTACACTGTTGATGCTCCTACCTGCTAATGGAAATAAGTGCTTTCATGAAACATGGTGTTCACACTTGTACTTTGCACCCAATATATACAAGATTGCATAGGATACATACATCGCCCTCCTCAAGGAGACATAAAGGCGGCGTAATAAAAGATTTACAGTTAAGAACATGGTCTATACATATGACAGATCTAGAGTCAAATCTATGATCTGTCATTTCCTAATCACAAGATCTTGGGAATGTTATTTGCCCTTTTCGATTTTCAACTTCTTTATTTGTAAATAAGCATAATAGACCGACCTCGAGTAGTTAAAATATCCAAATGCAGTAACGTTACATAGATGAATTGCCAAAATAGAGGGCCTGACACATAGGAGATTGTTGATAAGGAGTACCAAGTTATACAATTATTTATTTCTACCTTAAAAATATTCTTAAAGAGCCACATGCCAGCATTTTAAGTGAGCATATTTAAGCTCAATCAACTCAAACACTTCTTCATAGGATTTATCATGAGATTTCAAGGTTACAAAATTAAGATGCTGGCTGGGAGCGGTGGCTCACGCCTGTAATCCTAGCACTCTAGGAGGCCATGAGGCAGGAGGATTGCTCAAGGTCAGGAGTTCGAGACCAGCCTGAGCAAGAGCGAGACCCCGTCTCTACTAAAAATAGAAAGAAATTATCTGGACAACTAAAAATATATATAGAAAAAATTAGCTGGGCATGGTGGCACATGCCTGTAGTCCCAGCTACTCAGGAGGCTGGGGCAGAAAGATTGCTTGAGCCCAGGAGCTTGGGGTTCCTGTGAGCTAGGCTGACACCCCAGCACTCTAGCCCAGGCAACAGAGCCAGACTCTGTCTCAAAAAAAAAAAAAAAAATTAAGATGCTATTTAATTTTCAAAAAAGGAAACACTAAATTATAAATATTTGAATCACAGCTCATTAATATCACTATAAAACTAGGAATTATAATTTTCCTATGTCATCTCAAATTTGCAGTTACACTACACCAAAAGCACAAGCAACAAAAGAACAAAATAGATCAATGCAACTTCATCAAAATTAAAAGCTTTTGTATATCAAAGGCCTATACTAAGAGTGAAAAAACAACATATAAAATGGGAGACTATATTTTCGTATCTGATAAGGGTCTAGTACTCAGAATACAAAGAACTCAATAATAAAAAGACAAATAGGCCTGGGCAACCGAGCAAGACTAACAATGACAATATGAAAAAAAAATTAGTTGGGAGCTACTCAGGGAGGCTGAGGCAGGAGGATTGCTTGAGCTCAACAGTTTGAGGCTGCAGTGATCCATGACTGGACCGCTGCACTCCAGCCTGGGTGACAGAACATGACCCTATCTTTAAAAAATGAATAATAATAATAAAAAGACTAATAATCCAATTTAAAAATGTGCAAAGCTGCTGCACTCCAGGCTGAGCAACACAGCAAGATCCCATCTCTTAAAAAAAAAAAATGTACAAAGGATTTGAACAGACATTTCCTCAAATAAGACATACAAATGGCCAAGAAGCCATGAAAAGATGCTCAACATTGTTAATCATAGGGAAATGCAAATCAAAACCACAGAGAGATATTGCTTTACGCCCACTGGGAAGGTTATAATCAAAAAGACATAATAACAAGTGTTAGTGAAGATGTGGTGAAACTGGAATCCTCATAAACTGCTAGTAGGAATATAAAACGGTCCAGCCACTTTGAAAAACAGTCTGGCAGTTCCTCAAAAAGTTAAACATAGTTACTGTATGACCTAGTAATTCTACTCCTAGGTATACACCCAACAGAAACCAAAACATATACCCACACAATGCTTGTACAGGAATGTTCTTAGCAGCATTACAACAGCCAAAAAATAGAAACAGCCCAAATGTCCATAACATGATGAATGAATAAACAAAATGTGGCACTGTATATCCACACTACAGTGGAGTACTATTCAGCAATATAAAAGGAATGAAGTACTAATACATAACATGGATTACCTTTAAAACATTATTACTAAGTGAAAGAAAGAAGCCAGTCATAAAAAACCACATATTGTATGATTTCACTGATATACAATTTCCAGAATAGGCAAATACAGAGACAGAAAGTATATTAGTCGTTGTCAGGGGAGTTTGAGGGGCTGGTGGGGGGTGAGGGGGTTAAATGGGGATTGACTGCTTAACAGGTACAGGGTTTCTTTCTGGAGTGATCAAAATGCTTTAGAATTAGAATTATTACCATTTAGAATGGTAATAGTTGGACAAATCTGTAAATACTAAAACCCACTGAATTAACAGTTGACTCTTGAACAACACAGGTTTCAACTGTGAGGATCCACTGAGACGAGGATTTTCTTCCACCTCCGCCACCCCTTAGACAGCAAGACGGTCTCCTCCTCTTCCTCCTTGTCCTCAGCCTACTCAAAGTGAAGGTGAAGACCTTTATGATGATCCACTTCCACTTAATATATAGTAAATATTTTCTCTTCCTTATGATTTTCTTAATAATACTTTTCTCTAGCTTACCTTATTGTACAAATACAGTATATAACAAATATAATGTACAAAATATGTGTTAATCTACTGTTTATATTATTGGTAAGGCTTCGAGTCAACAGTAGGCTATTAGTAATTAAGTTTTGGGGGAGTCAAAAGTTATACTCAGATTTTTGACTCACGTCAGCGTCCCTAATTCCCAGCATTATTCAAAAGTCAACTGGACTTCAGAAGAGTGAATTTTATTGTATATCTCAATAAAGCTGTTAAGAAATTGTGTAGTCATTCTAAATTTTGATTTATGTTAATTAATCTAACTCTGATACAGATATCAAAGTTTTGTTGTGGCTGTTTTAACCCAGGTATAATAAGAGTGAGAAATGTAAATTATTATTTTTTTTTTAAAGACAAGGTCTCGCTCTGTCACCCAGGCTGGAGTGCAGTGATGCGATCACAGCTCGCTGCAACCTCGAACTCCTGGGCTCAAGTGATTGTCCCACCTCAGCCTCCCAAGCAGCTGGGACTACAGGCTGGCACCATCATGTCTGGCTAATTTCATTTTATTTTATTTTTTGTAGAGACAGGGGTCTCACTAAATATGTTGTACACCTGGCCTCAGGCAATCCTCCCACTGGGCCCCCCACACTGCTGGGAATTACAAGCATGAGCCACCAGCCACTGTGCCAGAGATGTAAACATTTAAGGTATCCCAGCTCCTAGGAAATTTAAAAATCTAATTCAATTTCCCTCCCTGTGATTTAATTCCACTCAGCCTTGAGCCTTCAGTGAAAAAAATAAACCTCAACACCATCCATAAAATCTCTTCATGAACTTCAAAACTTTAAGTTCTTGTCTCACTCCTCCTTTTAGATAAATCCTTTACAAAGACAAGCCCCTATTGTTTTTCAGCTCTTACTACAGCCTAAGCACTGGCAAGCATTTTACATTGACCTAATCTTTACTAAATTATCTACAATTTACAATCAAGAAAAATGTGTTAGTGATGTTAAAGAACTTCCCCAAGGTCACACAGCTAGAGTTCAGAAGAGCCAGGATTTGGATCCACATTAGGAGTCAGACTTGGCTCTTGCCATCAAGTCAAAATGACAAGAAAAAAGGTTAAGTAAAAATCAAACTAATACCTAAAAATTTGGAACTACCTTTGGTTCATCGTGGCTGGGAAATGTGCACTTGTAAAACTACTAAGAATACTGTCTGACATCAAGTACACACATGCAACAACATTCTAGGTAGTACCAGGGTCAAGATATTGACCTGAGTATTTAGAGAAACCTGCCCACCCCAGAACATCAAGTATGGACCCTTATTTCCTGGTTTTACATTCACCTAATCGTACCCAGGCTTGACTCAAAACCAGATGCAAGGGTCTTCTAGAGAAACACGGTAGCTTAACACAGTAGTACTAGCTTTGGAGCAAAACATATTTAGATTCACATCTTCATTTGGCCACTTACTAACTATTTGGCTTAGGACAATTCACTTAACTTTCTAAATACTTAGTTTCCTTATTTTTATCTTGCAAAGCTGTCTGAGAAATAAATGGGATAAGGTAGGTAAGTACTTAGCAGAATATCTGGCTCAATAAATGGTACACCTACAGTTTTATTAAAACAAAATGATAATAAACAACAGCACTTAAGTTTGTCAATTAAGACGACAACTATTACTCTTTAGTTTGTTTTCATAGCATAGAAATATTATTTTTAAAATAACTCATGAGAGAAAATGTAAAAACTACAGAAAAAAAGAGAAACAAATCTACCACAATCCTACAACCCCCAAAACAACTTTGGTTAAACTATTGAACACTCAGAAAACTATTTATGGGTTAATTATGTACTTCCAGGAGAGGGAAGGAGTGTCATTCTGACCATTCCTCTTTCACTGTATTTCATCAGCCTGTCTGAATTTCTAGAAGACAGGAAAATGAAAAAGAAGGAAAAAAGTAAAAGAACCAGTCAGTTTTACTTTTCTTTTGGGGGGGTAAGTTTCCATGTCGGCAAAGTTTTAAACTAACAGAAAACTTAGATTTGGGGATTATCTGTGGAGTTTCTGGTCATTCTCTGTCAGACCCATTACTAAAGATCTGAAAATCTGTTGCTAATTTGAGAACTGCAGACACATACTTGTCTTTTCCATAGTTGCCCACTAAGGAATTACTCAATTTAAGAAATCACTATTACAAGGAAAGAAAGAAAGAAACAAACACCTAAAGCTTTATGTGATTAAAGGATACGCATTATAGCCTAAATTAGAGAAAAAAGTTACCAAATGACTTTTTTCCTGGGAGCTTCTACTATGAGAGTCTGGGGAACTCCAGGCAGAGAGGAAAATTTTCCAGTTTAAACAAAATAACAGAAATGTTCAACCTATCAAATAACCATAACACATCACCCGCCATGGGGAATGAAAGGTCTTTATCAATAGGAAAAATAAATGGCACAGGAAATATTTTAAAAGGCAAAAATTGCAAATACATATTAACAGAGAGGGTATAAAATTCAATGCTGAGCAATGCACTTGTTAAAAAAAAAGAAACAGAAATGTCTGAAGTCGTGAGCACTTAATGTTAACACTCATTCCCGATCTGGCTGTCAAATGTAAAGCATGCTGTCCAGTAGAAAACCCGGCTCTGGCTTTGTCCAAACTACCTAGTACTTAATTTAAGCAGGAGTACTTAATCTCTCTGACTGATTCAGTCTCTTAATCTGTAAAATGGATACACTTTATGTACCCATAGCTTTGTTGTGAGTCACAAAAGAATTTTGGACAGACAAGCTTTATTAACTCTACAGTGTGGCACAAATCAGAGCATCCCTTTTCACATTAGTTTGATGTGGAATTTATTTCATAGATGGCAGTAAATTCTTCCTGGTTTATTGATGGTGAAAATATGCTGAATATGGTGGAACAAATCAGGTGAAGACAATCATAAAAGTTTAGCTGAAAACAGAGGAGTCTGAAGCAAGTGACATACACAGGACAAACTGTAGAAAGTGGTCGCATGACCTCGAACAAACCACAAGAGAACATATTCACATAAACACATATCGATAACAAGAAAATGCCACTGGTATTAACTGTAAACCACTTAGTACCCAGCAACGACATTTGTCTACTCCACCTCCAAGAACATGCTACTTAGTGCGTGTGCTTTAGGCATAGTTCTTTTGTACATACGACCTGACAAGTTCAACTTTTTAAAAACGCTTAGTACCTCGCCAAGAGACTGCCACAATATGCAGTGTAGTTGAGATACCCAAGTGGATACTTATTTAGCCTTCTTCAAAAATAAGATCCAGGAGTTTTACGTTTCATTTTATCAGTCTGATGTCTAAAGGTGATGACAAACCTCTATTTGGTGCTATTTCTAGTTAGCCACCGATCACGGAAAAGAGTGCATTCTTTCAAATAGCGAGAGCTTTCTGCACTCTTCAATTCTTACGCTGAATTAGCGAGCTTTTACTACTACGAAAGTTTAAAATGAAAGGAGAGCGTGCCCTGATTCCCTACTCGACTTATCACGCTGTACCAACAAGGAGGGACCTCGAAATACCAAGAACGGGTCCTGCTGCTGGTGGCCGCGCGGCCCGCCTGCCCTCGGCCTGGACGCTGTCCCGGAGGACGCGGGCACTGCCGCCCGGCTGCCGGCGTGGGAGGGCCGCAGGGGACCGGGGAAGAGCAAGGGTCGGGGGCGCCCCCTCGGCCCGGGCCCGCGGCCCACCGCCCGGCCTCCCTCCCGGCCCGCGCCGCCCGCCGCGCTCACCGCGTTCTTCTTCTGCACCATTTTGTCCATCTTCTTGGCGATGCGGACCACCTCGTCCTCCATGGCTCCGGCAGGTCGTCCCCGCGCCCAGCCCGCTGGGAAGGGGAGGTGGGCGAAGCTAGGGCAGAGGAGACGGCAGTAAGCAAGCCCCGGCTCTCTGCAAGCCCCAACACCGCAGGCCCGGGCCTAGGCCCTTCCTCACAAGCCAAGCCCGCCGCGGCAGCAGCGGTGGAGGCTCCTCCCCTCGCAGGCGACGCCAATCGAGCTCCGCGCGCACCGTGCAGGCACTACCCATCGATCGCAGATTGTCGGGCAGGAACGAGCCTAGGCTTCCGCCTGGCGGGCGTCGGCCTCAGCAGGGGCGAGCGGGCGGTGGGGTAGTCGTCCGGCCGGCTTCCTGCCAGTGGGTGGTAGAGGTTCGCCTCTGGGCCCGGCCCCGCACAGGCTGGGGTTTCCGCCCCAGGTCCCTCGGGACGGCTCCGCGGTTTAGAAGCTAGTGAGGCCCACAGTAGCTCGAAACGGAGGCGGATCCGGAGAATGGAACTTTGGCGGGCTTTAAACGCTGTGGGAACCCAAGCTCGCTCGCCGTGGTAGACGGCTACGGGAAACACGGACCCCCATCCGCTATATAGCCCACTAGGCACGGATTTAATTGTTTTGAGCGGTTCCTTTTTTAGAGTCAAATTGTTCGTGAGCTCGTGGAGGATGAGAGCCAATCCTGGTCTTAGCGCTTCGAGTGGTTGAATAGCAGTTGAGAGAAACCTGATCAGAGCAATCAATGCATCTCACCTGCTTCTGAAGAACAGCGAGGAACTGACGTCCGTGAGAGTTGTGATCACGAACACAAATAGTGGAGAGCGTAGGCTCCTTAAAAAGGTCTTTGTCCAGTTACACCTTTTACTACTAACTCATGCTATTTGCAGTCATAAACCCCACACCAAGTTGAATTATTATTAAAACCCACCGCTTGTTCTTTCTGTACTGAGGTGACAAATTTTTCCTAGGTCTGACTTGTTTGGAAGGAAGAATCATTTGGATCTGGATCGTTTCCCTTTCTCTTTATTTTGCTTATTGCCTTTCATTTTTAAATTTTCTTTTCATTATTGATTTGCAGCTTAAATTTTGGTAAGAATATATGATTGGGAAGTTATTGATTCTAAGGTATTTGTTGAGATTTGTCTTGTCAATTTTTGTAACTATTCTACGTGTCCTGAAGAAGATTTTGCATTCTGTAAGACAAATACAGGGTTCCGTATAAGCCCATTAGCCAGAAATGTATTGCTGCAGTATTTATATCCCTGTTTGCTGTCTGCTTAATGCATCAGTTAATAAGCATGTAAAAAATTTCCTTTAAGGTTATGGATTTATACAACTTATTCTAATTATCCTGTCCTTTCGGTTTTTTCCCCCCAATCAGTTGATTAATTTTTTTTTACTGTGGTAAAGTACACATAACCCAAAATTTACCATTTTAACTATTTTAAATTCTGTGGCATTTCAGCCAATAACAATGTTGTACACCCATCACCACTAGATAGTTTCCAAAAGTGTTCTGAAAACTTTCATCATGTCAAAAAAAAAAAAAAACCTGTACCAATTAAACAGTCACTTCTGATTCCCTCCTCCCTCCAACCTTTGGCAACGACTAATCTGCTGTCTCTATGGACTTGAGTATTCTGAACATTTCACAGACATAGCTTCATACAATATGTGACCTTTACTACTGTCTCCTTTCATTTAGCGTATTGTTTTCAGGGTTTACCATATACCACATTTTGTTTATTCATTCATCAAATAATGGGCATAAGAGTTATTTCCACCAGCCCTTCACTATTCCACATTTTCACTCTTAGGAATAGTGGTGCTATGAACATTCCTGTACATGGTTTGTAACCAGCCCCATAAGCAAAAAAAACAAGCCAAGCATCTGCTGTCTCCAAGAAACGCATCTAACCTGCAAGGATGCATTTAGACTCAAAGTAAAGGGGTGGAAAACAATATTTCAAGCATATGGAAGCCAAAAGAAGGCTGGTGTGGCAGTGTTGATCTCAGACAACTTGGTTTTTAAATCAACAAAAGTAATGAAAGACAAAGGGGGTCCCTATATAATGGTGAAGCAAGAAAACATTTTTAATAGATTTTTTTCCTTGTAGTTCCCAGGCCAGTAAGATCTGTTGACCAGAACTTTGTAACTTTCTGTTACACTAATGCATTCTCTCCTGAGTTTCTTTCCCAGAAATGGCGGAACCTCCTTGTAGCCATGAGATAACTACAAAGCCTCACACCACCTGTTTGTTTGGAGGAGACAAGGTAAGCCATACTCCACCACAGACCTTGCCCCAAGAACCCACTGAGCATGCAAACAAGGCTGAAAGAATGAGCAATATTAAACCCTAGCCTGTTATAACATTAAAAGCCCTGCCCTGGGGGGGAGGGGGGAGGAGGGAGGAGGGGACGAGTATTTCCATACACAAAGAGTGCAATGCTCATCACCCGAAGGATGGACATATTTGAAACTCGGACTTAGGGGGGAAGGGGGGGGCATGGGCAACATACGTAACCTAAACATCTGTACCCCCATAATATGTTGAAATTAAAAAAAAAAAAATCCCTGCCCTGGGAGGGAGTTATCTGCCATTTTTTGGTCATAGGACATATGTACTAGCATGATTTCTCACTGCGCTTGCATGCCCTGCACTCCACCCCAAACACACTCACTCCCCTCATGCATTATTCATTTTGCCTCAGAAAAAAACCCTGACCCTGTTGGGAGGGAGGCGGATTTGCGTACCACCCCTTCCAGTAGATGGCATCTACTGTAATAAATCCTTTCTTCCTTGACAATCCTCATTGTCTCAGTAACTGGCTTTCTGTGCAGCGAGCAATAGTGAACCCCCTTTGTGGGTTCATTAACAGTTTTGCGTGAACACCTGTTTTCAGTTTTTTTGAGTGTGTACCTACAAGTGGAATTGCTGAGTTATACAGTAATTCTATATTTAAACTTGAGGAACTGCCAATCTGTTTTTCACAGCAGCTACACCATTTTGCATTCCCACCAGCAGTGTACTAGGGTTACCCGTTTTGGGTTTGCCCTTTTTTTAAAATTCTAACCACCCTAGTGGGTGTGAAGTAGTATCTCATTGTGAGTTTGATTTGCATTTCTCTAATGACTAATGGTGTTGAGCATATCTTCATGTATTTTTTGGCCTTGTGTATGTCTTCTTTGGAGAAATGTCTATTCAAGTCCTTTGCCCAATTTTTAACTGGGGTGTCTTTTTGTTGTTGAGTTGTGAAAGTTCTTTATACATTATGGACACTAGAGCCTTATCAGATATATGATTTGCAGACATTGTTTCCCATTCTGTGGGTTGTCTTTTCACTCTTTTGATAGTGACCTTTTATACATAAACCCTTTAAATGTTATAAAAGTCCTATTCATCTATTTTCCTTTGTTACTTGTGCATTTGGTGTCAAACCTCAGAAGCAATTGCCAAGTCCAGGTCATGAAGGTTAACCATTGCCATTTTAACAATATTAATTCTACCAATTTAAAATGGGATGTCTTTCCATTTATTTTGATCTATTTTAATTTCTTCTGATGATATTTTGTAGTTTTCAGTGTGTAACTTGCTGGCCTCATTGGCTAAATTTATTTCCAGGTGTTTTATTCTTTTAAATGTTATTATAAATGGAATTATTTTCTTAATTTCATTTTCGAATTGTTCATTGCTAATGTGTACAAATACAACTGATATTTGTGTGTTAATATTGTATCCTCCAAATTTGCTGAATTGATCTATTAGCACTAACAGGTTTTAGGATTTTCTCCATAAGATCATTTCATCTGTGAAATAGCCTCATTCTTTCCTTCTAATTTGAGTGCTTTTTATCTCTTTTTCTTGCCTAATTATTCTGGCTAGAACTTCCATTACAATGTTGAATGGAAGTGTTGAAATTCAGAATCCTTCCCTGGTTTCCAATTGTAGAGAGAAAGCTTTCAGTCTTTCCCAATGGAGTATGATGTTAGCTGCGGGTTTTTCATAAATGCCTTTAGCATATTGAGGAAGTTTCCTTCTATTCATAGTTTGTTGAGTGTTTCTATCATGAATAGGTGTTACATTTTGTCAAATGCTTTTTCTGCATCAATAGAGATGATCATGTTTTCCTTTATTCTACTAATGTGATATATTTTAATAATTGATTTTCATATGTTGAACCATCCTTAAATTCCTGATATTCCACTTGGTCATGGTGTATAATTCTTTTAATATATTCCTGCATTGGGTTTGCTAGTATTTTTTGAGGACTTTTAAATCTATATTGATAAAGAGTAGTAGCCTGTATTTGTCTTTGTATGTCTTTGATATCTGGGTAATATGGGCCTCAGAGAATATATCAGGAAGTAGTCTTTCCTCTTGATTTTGAAAGAGTTAAGAAGTATTAGTGTTAATTTTTCTTTAAGTATTTGTTATAATTCATGAATAAAATCATCTGGTCCTGGGATTTTCTTTGTTAGAGGTTTCGGTTACCAATTCGATCTCTCTTACAGGTCTGTTCAGATCTTCTGTGTCTTTTTGAGTCCGTTTTGGCAATTTCTGTGTTTATAGGAATTTGTTCATTTCATTTAGGTTATCTAATTTTTTCACATACAATCATTCATAGTATTCTTTTATAATTCTTTTTACTTCAGTAAGGTCCCTAGTGTCCCCATTTTCATTTCTGATTTTAGTAATTTGAATCTTCTCTCTTTTTTTTCTTGGACAGCATAGCCAAAGATTTGTCAGTGTTGTTGATTGTTTTCAAAGAACCAACTTTTGGTGTAATTAATTCCATCTATTGTTTTTCTAATCTGTATTTCTTTTATACTTAATCTAATCTTTACTATTTCCTTCTGATAGCTTTGGGCTTAGTTTTCTTCTCTTTTTTCAATTCCTTAAGGTGTAGAGGTAGGTTATTGATTTAAGATCTTTCTTTTTTATAAATGTAGGCTATTACAGCTATGAATTTCCATCTGAGCACTGTTTTCACTGCATCCTTTAAGTTTTGGTATATTGTGTTTTTGTTTTCATTTGTCTCAAAATATTTTCTAATTTCTTTTCAGATTTCTATTCGACCTATTTATTGTACTCCACTGGGGTCGCCCCCTTGGAATGCTCCTTACTGGAACCTTGCTACCCTGTTGAGAGGAAGCCCAAGCTGGCCCCATGGAGAGGCTCTGGGACCATGTGGAGAGAGGTCTGGTTGTTCCAGCCAACATGTCCCACATCCCCATGCTGACAGCCAGCATGAACTGCCAGCTGTGTGAATGAGGCCATTGTGTTTTCCTCCAGACAACCTAACACCCCAGCTG